TTATTGTTATATGTTATTTGGCGTTTGTCTCTACTAACCCCAAATCAACATCATAACAGTATCCTATGTTCACTATGTACAAGCAATGGCCTCACCCCAGTTGTAACTCCTATTTTCCTTTTGTAGCTGAGTTTCATTTAGTTGAATAAAGCTTAGCACTTCCATTTTAGGGTAAAAAATCACTTCCATTTTTGGGTAAAAAATGTCCACATCAGGTTTTTTATAAGTTTTTTTTCTCTAAATTTTCAAATGCTGTATTTTGCCATTGAGGCCATTTAATTTTGCTGTTCTTTTTTCATAACTCTGGAAAGGATGTCATCAATTCATTATACTTTGGCAAATATATGCTATAAAAATTGGCTAACTTTAAATAAGGTATCAATTCTATCAAGACTGAAGTTCAACAATGAACCATTAGAAAGATCAGACAATTCAGAAGATAAAATATTGCACTAGATTGAAACAGATGTATCATCCTTAGATTTACTAGGCAAGATTACAATGGAGTGATTGTTCTGGGACAGAGAGATGAGGCACAAAGGTATTATATGCATTACAGATATTTTAGTACCACCAGAGAGATTAAGAAAAGATGTAATAAAAAGTGTACACAATGTTCATTGTGGAATAACTGCAGCACAGACACAATTACAAAATATAGTAAAGGAAGTTCCAAGAGGCAACCCTCCCCTCCCCACACACACACAGACACACTGCCATTAGTAGGAGAGATCCTGACTCAGTCAGAGAAACTTAATTCCTCCTATTCCTCCTCTTGTTTGTGTTACTGAAATTCACTCTTGCTTATTTCCACATTCAGTCAAGAATCCACCGGTCTTCATGTAGGTCTTTGATAATTTTGAACTGTTTACTTTAACTGACTTTCTTCTTTCTTCTTACCATGTCATCTGCAGTAATCCTTATTCTTAATTTTTTTTGTTATTATTTCCATAATCCATATCTTCTTCTTTAAGTTTGGTATTTGTTTTCGAATGTCTATTCACCTCTTAATTCTCTAAAGTTATTTGCTGTATCCACCTATTGTATCTGACAATATTATAGTGATTCCTGTTATTAATTGTACCAATGACTACTACTAAAGAAATATCTAGGCAGGTCAGGCTGCTAAACTACCACTACCCTGTCTTTTCCTTCTCACCCTCTTCTCCAAGACTCCCACTCACTCTATATCCCCCTCATCTCAATGCCTCCACTGACCATCAGACATTCCATAATCCATAGCTCTCTCACTAAGTTTGGTATTTGTTTTTGAATGTCTATTAATTCTCCAAAGTCATTAACTGTATCCACCTATTGTATCTGACATATTAAAGTGATTTCTAATTATTATTTGTACTAGTGACCACTTCATAATGATCAACTCACAGTATAAACCTATTTACATAGTTCCAAAAATTAAGAAATATCTAAGCAGGGCAGGCTGCTAAAGCTACCACTACCCAGCCTTTCCCTTCTCACTCTCCTCTTCCCCAACCCTTTCACTCCTTCTATAAATGTCTCCACTGACTATAAGACCTCAGCCAAAAAACAAATACTTAAGTTTTACCATAGTAACACCAACATTTATTTCATTTAGATTAAGACTTATTTAATTAAATTAATTTGAATCAACCTGATATATCCTGCATAAAAACAACAAATGGTATCAGCCAAAGTATCATAGACACCAATATTAAAATCCAAAAAGTGCAGAGTAAATTCTTGATTGAGGAAACCGAACACTACTAACCACTAATCTCTAAGTGCTATCTTTACCTAACCCCTCTCTCTCACCTTCCCTCCCCACTTACCAAGCTAAAGTGTCTGTCCAATGTACTTTCTCCATTCATAAACCAGGTTTTCATTCTGATGAGATGAACATCTTGGTGTTCACAAAATAAAAATTATAAATGAAATGGATAATTAAAGCCTGCGTCTTTTTATTATCATTATAATGCTCTGTAGACTACATTGAGCTCTCCCTGGATTTATATCCTCCTTAGAATTATCCCTTCCAGTTGCAAACTGGTAATATATATATATATATATATATATATATATATATATAATATACTGGGTGTAACAGCAAAATTGTTCAAATTATGTAAAAGAAAAATTGTCCATTTGTTAGATTAAGATTTGAACCAGAAATAACTAGAAATAAAAATATCTTACTGGAATTCCCCAAGGTTTTTATAACACTATTAGACTCTACTTTGAGTAATAAGAATGTCTAATTACTCTCCAAGCTTAACAGAAGAATCATGATGAAATCGATCATAAATGACATATTCATCATTAATTAATAATGGCTAAGGATCAGAACCTCATGAAGGATTGAACATTAAATTCAAATATATGTAAATATATTATTCTAGGACCATTTTGCAACTTATTCAAGATGATCTTCACCCCTTTCTAATCTTTTAACTTTCTATACTAGAGGAACAAGGTGCCTTGCAGGTTTTCATGTACAAATTCATTTCTTTTTTTTTTCACTGCTTTTTGTACTATCTTAACTGAAACTCCTCTCTCATATGACAAACATCTTATGGATTGAGTTGTGTCTCTTTAGCTCTAAGTTGAAATGATGATCCTTCTTTCTGTTGTTATCTCCTGATCCAGTTTTCCTCTCTACTGTTACCTCTTTTTTAAACTTATTCACCACTGACTTGATTGTTCTTGAATGGATTTTGAAGATGGAATCCAGAGTATGAATGTTGGTAACATTACTGAAGGCTTGAATGATCTTTTTCCTCTTACCATTGCTCATTTGGGAAGACAGTGAGACTGACATAATTCAATTTTAACCTATTCTCTTTGTGGCAATGCCTGTGATTATACCCAAGGAAGGTGGATAATTCTCCAAATTTGGAAAGTTGATTAAGAAATAGAGAAAAAAAGAAACCTTTTATTGGAATTAACGAAAATTGGGGAATCATCGAATCCCCAGAACCCTTTGGACCCCATACCAGTTTTGGGCTGAAGTGCATATAAGCAGATGACTTTGGGGAGCTCAGAGACTTTGGGCTGAGATCCCGCATTGTGTGCCTCTGAAATACACCTCATCTGTCAACCAGATTCCTAATTCCAAAACTTCGAACCCAGCCCTCTAGAAGTTTAGACAAGGCCCAGTTACACTATAGAGATTTATGTGGGACCAAGAGCTATATAAACCAATTAAAGATTAACCCCATGAATCTATCTTTTATTTTATTTTATTTTTTTTCATTGTGAAGATATTTTTTTTTCCTGAATATAGAACTTACCATGGCTTGAACCAGCCCTGCAAGACTACGACCTTCGATTTCCCACTGCACTGATATCAGGAACACAATATAGGCAGTGTTGGTGTGGATCAATGGCCAGCAACCAACAACCAGCTTAGAGCAATGTCAGCATTGATAGCACAGTGTTAGCCTCATGATTAAAACCTGTTCTAAGGGACCAGACCACTAAATATGGTTACACTACCAGGTGTAGGAGGCAGTAAAATGTATTATATCTGTGTTGCACTTATTCATAGTACCTCATTTTTATTTTTCTCTATCGCTCTCGGGATGATGTTTCAGTAATTTTCGATTGAATATCTGAGAGGATTGAGAATATCCTCACTGAATTTCCCTCAACTAGCATTTATATCTGTGGTGACTTCAATATCAACCACAAACTGGGGTTAATATAGGATGATATTTCACTACTCAAAGGTAGACTGGGATAGTTTTCTGTCCTATATGATGAAACCTCTCTCAGCCTTTTTAAAGCACACTGTCTCCAAAACTGCTACCATTGTCTTCGAATGGATCCTTTCTGGAATAGAAAGTCTTATACCCCTCCACCCCGCCAAAAATTCCAGCAACAACCAGTCAGTCTTGGTTCACCCATGAATGCACTGAAGCCATAGCTCACTGGAATCACTAATTCAATATCTATCACAAGGAGTCATGTAGTCTGACCTTTACTGCTTTCAGAATCTCTAACAATTACTGCAAAATATTTCTGGAAAATGCAAAGTGCAGCTATGTGTAAGTTGCTCAGGTCAAGATTGAAAAGAAACAAATTGGATCTCACAAATTCTGAAAGATCATGAACTTGATTATGAACAGAAACAAAGCAGTAGTTTAGCCTTTTATTCACCCAATAAACAGCTCAAGAACTACTCAGAGTAGAGGGTTAGTGAATGTAGTGTGGATTATGTGAATATGGAGGATATGTAATGATTGACTCTTGACTACCACAATCAGTACAAGTGTTGAAAATGGCAAGACGAAAAGAAATGAAAAGTTTAATATTTTTATATAAAATAATGATAACCATTATTTAAATAATGTCTATTTTAAAAAAAATTGTTTCTATATAAAAATATATCATAAAATATTTTGTTAGCAAAAAAAGAAGTTATTTCATGGAAAAATTGGTATCTTTTCATATTTTTTTCCTTAAAATTTAAGATTCTTTTTGCAACTTTCGTAACAAATATACAAATATAATCATGATTATCTGGAATTAAATGAATGGAAACTGTGTTGTTATTATTATTAGGGTTATTATTATGATTAAGTTTTAAATTTGGCAGAAAATTGCTTTATTCTTCTTTTAACATTTTAACGGTATTACCCTAACAAAATTATCACTGATGTGTCATTTTTGCTGTATTATGGTAACATGCCCACTAACAAAAATTGGATCTTTATAATATAAATAGGTAGATTCTATTAAAGTTAAGTTTATTTTTCAAGTTACATGATCCACCTTATGTAAGCTTCTTTCTTTTTTGTGAAACCTGTTTTTTAAAGATCAGGTATATTGGACAATATACAGAAAATAATTTTATAACAAATTAAATTTTTTCTCTTGTCATAACTATTAAGTAGGGTGCAGAATAAATTAAAAGGAAGCAGAAAGATGACTTGATTTTCATTATTAATATCATAAACAAAACTTGTTCAGTAACTCTGGTTTCAATGCAGTCTTGTAGTTATTTCTTTGTATCATTTCAGGGATTTTTCCACATGTTTGGAATTGGTTATTCACTCCAGATGGCCATTAAATTATTGCCTTCACTATTTCACAATATATTACAACCAAAAGTCATGCTAAAATTTGTTGTACATACAGATAATTTCAGCTTTGGTGCTTTTCTGGCTTTTTTCTGTGCTGTTTTTAGAGTGAGTAAAATATTTCTTTTCTTTTTGCCCTCCCCACTTATGATTGCACACTCTACTTAATAATGCTTTCCCATCTAAATTTCTTCAGGTTTTGTTATTCTGTTTTTTTTATATAATCTTAATTACAAACATCTTAAGGTACACATTCTGAAAAAATATTCAGTATCTACTGATCTTTCGACCCTTAAAATGCATGAGGATGTATTAACTTCCTGACCCAGAGGAATGAACAGAATGACAGGAGAGTTCCATAAGATTTATACTAACCTGTTTGATTAATTCCTCTTAGTAAGTAATTAACAGAAAATTTCAAGATGAACAAGATCACCACCTTCAAATGGCGATGTTTCATTTGATTTGACACATTCATTACCAGTACAGCCATTTTTCAATACAAGACAAGCAACATTTTTACAAAGAATCATAATTTTTTGTAGAATTATATATTTTTATACTTGCAAAAATTGTTTAAATATAACTTGAAGACATTCTGTTGAAATATTAATGTTGTCAAATCTTTTCTTAAATCATGCTCTTCTCTTAACTGTATCTCTCTCTCTCTCTCTCTCTCTCTATATATATATATATATATATATATATATATATACACACTAATAATATACATTTGAAAAAACTTTTACCATTTACTCACTTTTGTTTATTACATGTTAAACTAACATTTTTATTTCTCTTTATAAATACTTGCTGCAAAATAAAATTCTTATATTTGCCTTGTTACTACACAACAAATGTAAGCAAATGTACAAACACATACGTGTCTAGGTCTAAAATCTCTCTCTCTCTCTCTCTCTATATATATATATATATATATATATATATATTCTTCAATATATCCTATGAATATAATTTAAATACAATTTATGCATATCTTATACACATTTCCAATATATTACACATATACACACAAGCATAATTCACATATACAAGAATATACATACAGGGGTGGGCCGAAAAGTTCATAAGCTGACTATGAAAGATTGATGCTAGAGCTGTGAGATTCTGTATGCATCTGACTATTCAAAGAAGACTTCAAAAATAACAAGTAGCAACTTCTCTTGAAAATGGACAAAATTTGGCATTGTGGTGTTATCAAGTAACTGTAGGAAAAGGGTTTAACCTCTAAGGATATTAGATGGTTGCTGCATTAGGGTATGATTAACAGTGCAAAAATGGGCAGCTGAATTTTAAGAGGGGAATGGAGTCTTGAAGATAACCCAATGTTTGAACATCTTCTGACTGCCACCACTAATGAAAAACATTGATCATGTTCACTACTTCATGATAGATTACAGGTAAATCAAATAGCCAATGAACTTGGTATGATGAAAGTTTCTGCTTGGTGTGTTCCACATCTGACATTTGATCAAAAGTGCAGAGGCTGATCACATCATGGGAAAATCTGACATTGTTTCAGGCAAATCCATCTAGTTTTCTTGAATGTTTCATAACCCAGGATGAGTGTTGGATTCAGTTTGAGCCTGAAATAAAGAGACCATCCATTCAGTGAAAACATCTCTCCTCATTTGCTCCAAAGAAGGCCAAGGTCGTTTCATTTACTGGGAAGGTAATGGCTACAGTTTTTTGGGATGCAAAAGGTGTTGTGTTTATTGGCTCTGTCTAAAAGGTCACACCATCAATGGAGAGGGCTATGCCAACTTACTGAGGCAGTCATGAAACCCTATCAGGATGGAATACTCAGGAAAACTGATGAAAATGATCTTGTTTCATCAGGATAATGCTCCATCACACAAGTCCTTGGCTGCTGTTTGTGACTAGCTTTTGATTTGACTATCATCTTTCCCAAACACATCACAATGAAGGTGACTTCATATTTTGTGTTGATGACTTTTTTCACCAAAGGGATGAACAGTCAGATGTCAGTTGGCCTGAAAAGAAACAATACAATTATTAAAAAGAAGAGCTGAAATTAATGTATGCAAGATTTTAAACTCTAACATCACTCCTTAGTCAGCCTATGAACTTTTTCAGCCCACCCTTGTAGGTACATACAAATGTGATATTACATTTTGCATGTACATATTCACAAATACACACACACATACTTAAATATAATATGCCATACACACACACACACACACACACACAGATATATATATATATATATATATATATATATATATATATATATATATAATTTTTTTGTGTCTGTGTAACATTTTAGAGACAGTGTGCAAAATGTTGACATGAGATGCACAGAAGTCAAGACCACATTCATGTCCACACGCAAAAAGCTACCACACTGAAAACTACAAAGAGACTGCCCCAAACACAGTGACACAGTTCACAGTAAGAACAAATTTCTCTCTCTTGTATCTCCTGTTACTACTAAGAACTATGCATAGATGTAATAACTCTTTCACACAAACAATGACCCACCTGCCCAAATTCAAATCATATTTGAAAAGAAAAAGAAACATATGACAACATTTCACTGTTTCTCACATATGTACATAAATTATATTTATTTATTTCTTCCTAAGGGGCCCGAAAAAGGAAATAAACTTCAGTTAAATTTGTAAAATAAAATAAATATTCAACGCGACTAATGTTGCCTGTAACTCAGGTATGTCTCTCATAATTTTTATACAACTAAAGTTCTTTTTTTCTTTTCCAAAACAAATATAATGTGAATTTGGGTGGGTGGCTCATTTTTATTTTGCACACTTCCCCTCAATTGTTACACAGAAAAAACATTGTACTTGAATTAAACAAAAATAATTACAATATAATACATATTACTTATAATACATTCTTTCATGCAGTCAAAATATATATATATATATATATATATATATATATATATATATATATATATATATATTCATACATGTTTCATTAAATAATATAGACAAGTGTTGTCTATTTATTTTATGTAAATTCTTTTCATAACATCTGATAAGCTTAATAACATTATCATTAAGTGAAGAAAGTGAATCACAATTACTTAGAGTTGTGCCACTGAGGTTTCTTTTTCTTCGGTTAAACTGGCATTGATACTTTTGTACCTTCTCAGAAATACCAGGTAAACCCACAATCTTCTTGATTCACACCAGCCTTACAAGCAGATACAAAGAAGCATCTGTTTGATCAGGGCTATCATGCTGGTACAACTGGGAAAAGTGATTCCTATGGGGTATAGTGGCTGAGCCACCCACCCAAATTCACATTATATTTGTTTTGGAAAGCACCAGGGTGCTGATAAGAGCGACTCTAGGGGTGGAGCAATAAAATATAAAATTACGCAAGAGCATAAGAATTTTATGGCTGAATTAATTGAAAACTCTCCTAGGGTCATTCTTCAAGACATTATAAATAAGTTGGTCTTAAAAGTATGAGGTTCGTGTGATGAAAGAATGCATAAAAAAGCACTTGGACTCCATGGCCTTTACTTTAAAAGTGGTTCATTATGAACCAGAAGCTGCCAATAATAATGTTCAATAAGGCAAAACGTAAGGATTATGCAGTAGCTTTATTAGAATTTCAGTCCCAAAGTGTGCCAATTCTTTATATGGATGAAACCAATTTTAATCTGCATATTTCAAGAAGAGAAGATGGCTCTAAATAAGGCATGAGGTGCACTACGGTCGAGGCCAGATCCAGGGGAAATAACATCTATGTTATTGGATGTATTAGTAATAATGGATTAATTCATCATAAAATTAAGAGGTTCTTTCAAAAAAGAGGATGCAAAAGAATAGACCAGGGAGTGAAAGGCAAATGAAATTTATGAAAGGGGAGTTGTCTTAGTTATTGATAACGCCCCTTGCCATACTTCAGTTGAAGAAGTTGTGGAGGAGGATGAATTTAAGCAACACCAAATTTTCAGACTTGCCCCCTATAGCCATATAGTTAAATGCCATTGAAAAGGTTTGGTCAGTCATAAAAAGAAGTATGGCAGACTCAATTGTTGGGATTTTAAGAAGTGATGGTCAGGGATCTTTAACTACTAAAGAATTCCGCCTCAGCAAGTTAGAAGCGATGATCTCCCAGGCAATTAATAATATTTCCCCTGAGACTTGCACTAACTTCGTATCTGGAATACAGATATTACTTCCCTCTGTAATTAACTTAGATGATGTAATCTTTTAAATAAATTTCTTAGGAACGTTTATATTTTTTTATATCTCTTTTAAGTAAAAATAAAAGAATGAATATTAAATTTATTAGTATTATATTAATTCTCAATTTGAAGTTGATTAATCCAATTTGAAGTTGATTATTTCTCATTTTGAAGTTGATTAATCCAATTTGAAGTTGATTAATTCAATTTGAAGTTGATTAATCCATTTTGAAGTTGATTAATCCATTTTGAAGTTGATTGATCCATTTTGAAGTTGATTGATCCATTTTGAAGTTGATTTTTTTTTTACGTGAAAATAAGTCCATTTTGAAGTTGATTATTATCATTTTGAAGTTGAAAAGGTATAGAAGAGGAGGTGAACAAATCAAAGAAATATGTAGATCGGAATTATTAGGGAACTGAGTAGGAAAATCCACTATTTGATTGAGTGGAAAAATTGAAAATCTAAATATTGGCAATATCGGTAGCATTGGAATGATTAAACCACTTAACATGATGAGCATTAAAATTGCCAAACACAAAAATGTTTGCTGATAGAGAGTGAGAGCATTTCTATATTGTCAGATATTTAGTTTAATATGTTGCAGTCCTGAGAAGGAGAGTGATAAATGAAAGAGATAGCAAACAAAGTGCAGTAAATAATAATTCAGATATAAATAAAAGATATCTGTAAAAAAAATAATGAGATAAAAATAATGACAAAAGGAAGGCTTTTCTTTACCAACACATTTTGTCCCCTGAGGGAATGTATCAAGGTAAATGCAAGGATTTTATTTGCAATATGTGATTATAAACAGAAATAAAGTGGTAGAAAAATATTTTTGTTTTCAAAATTTTAAACTGAAGAATGCTCTAAAATATTCTTAAAGCTGTGTAAATAAAGGTATAGAGGATGCTAAATGAGTAATGTAATTTAATGCCTAATAAATGAAAGTGAGCAAATATTTTTTCTTGTTTATTTATATATATATATATATATATATATATATATATATATATATATATATGGCCCCATCCACTAAACAGCTATTAACTGCCATTCTAGAAAGTAGGAACAAATTTGATAAAGAATTAAATCAGTGAAATAGAAAAGTATACAATCCTCCAAGTTTCTGTCTACTTTCCAGAGTATCAATTGTGCATTACGATGGATAAGGAAGAAGGACAGTGGATTCAATGGATTAATTGCTGGGTTTGTAGCTGGATGGTCAATGTTATGGTACAAGAGCACAACCCTAGCTCTTTATCTTACCTCCAAACTTGCTGAGGTAAGTTTCCACATTGTACCTTTTCCATTTTCAATTGAATTATTTTGTTTACTGAATAATTTGCTTGTGTTGTTTTCATCTTCTCATTCTGAAGTAGCAATCACTCAGACACAATAGCTGAAAGATTTGTAAATATCTATGTCTGAATATTTTTACTATTTTCACTATTGTGTAACATTGATTATGTAATGCCTTGATTTGATCGTTGTTGATCTCAAATTGTATACTTTATTATGGAACATGGTTTTGTAAATGACATACTTTATAAGAAATGAATAAAATACTTCTGAAATATTTAATAACTAATTTATTTAGTTGAAATAGGCAGCATATTGAATAATGACTGTTCTCCAATGTACTTCTAAATTCTTGATCCCATCATTAAACAATTCTCATCTTTGATGTGATAAATAGTTCAAATGCTGTGATTACCTCTTCCTTAATAAAGAATATTTTATTGCATATAAAAAGCTCAAAATGCGTTAATAAATGATAATCAGCAGGAAAGATATCAGGTGAATATGGAGGATGAGGCAAAATTTCATAATTCAGGCTATGCAGTTTTTGGATAGTTGATCGAGAAACATGCAGTCATGCAGCAAAATTGGGCCATCCCTATTCACAACTCTAGGATTGGAAAGCGTTGGATGAGTCTAATTGTGATTACAAAAGTATGGCAGCTTTGAAAACTCATTTGATCATTCTGATAAGAAAAGAACACCTGAATTTGTTGGTGAGATCCAGGCCATGATTAACAATGATCCCTCCAAGACAATCAGATCCATAGCCAGAGAGGTAGTGCTGCCCTTGGTCAAGAGGGTGGCTGCTGGAAGACCATATATCTGTCAACATGATTCTGCACCATACCACACAAGCAGGAGAACCCAGTCATGGCTGCCAGACAATTTTTGTGACCACACATCTCCTTACATCTGGCCACCTAACCCCACCCCAGACTGCAACCCCCTTGATTATGTGTGGCATGCACTTAAGCAAAGATGAACTGAAGGCAAGGATTTTGGCAGCATTCACCAACTTTAAGGAGACCATTCAAAAGAAGATTCTGAAATAGTTTGGAGGCTGTAGTCGAAGCCAATGGCATTTTCATTTAATAAATTTACTCTTTAGTATTTCAAGATATTTTTGTGTAATTTTGGTAAATATATCTGTTAAGATGAGATATCAGTGTTATTTTCATTTTTGTGTAATTTAGATGACAATTTATTCATCACACTGCACAAGTGTGTGGATATCTAAAGGGGTTGTGAGTTGTGCAAATGTTGTCTTCCATCTCTGGGTAACTTATGTTGACAGTGGCATTGGAGAATGGATAAAATTCATCAATTCTGATTTAGGTTGATTTTCCATTTTCTTATGTATCTAGAGATCAACTTTGAAAGTGCCACTTTGCTTCTGATAAGTTGGTCAAAATATGGCTTAGTGACTCTTAATATACATTTATTTTTTAGAGATGGTGAAGTTTTGGTCCCCTTATTATTTATTTATTTTTCTATCACTAAACACAATTTTCATTCATAATTAGTGTTTATTTTTTGTATTTTATTTATAATTTTTAATAGTAAAAATACATATTTTCTTTTTCTATTTTGTCATTTTTCCAGATTTAGATTTGTTATTTCCAGATATTTTGTTACTGAATTCAGTTGTATGTAGTCACCTGCAAGTCTGTGTGTTCCATCTGACTTAAATATCATGTGTAAGGTCAAACTCCATTCTAATTTTGAAGGGGATATTATTCCTGCTCTTTGGAGTTTGCTAAATTCCCCCTTCACTAATTGATGTGGTTTAGAAAATATTGGGACATTGCTACCATTCTCAATCCTATTTAAAACTTTTGGTTTTCCTTTATTTTTGTTGTGATGAGGTGAAATTAGGTTTGGGTGTTTTTCCATATTTCTTCAGCATTATCTTGGTCAACTGTGATGATTTGTATCAGTCAGTTAATTATTTGTATAGTCGGGCCAAAATGATTTAAGAAATCATAACCTAGGAGAGGTTTTGTGGTGTCTACAATCACAAAACTCCAGGCAAAGTTGCTTCTGATTTAATGTAGCTTGTCTGTGAGCATTCAGTCTCCTGACTGTTAGTGGATACATTGGAAACATTTGTTGGGTAAATAACTAAACCATCTAAATATTTTTTTCTTAGAACTGAAATGGCAGCTCCTGTGTCGACAATTAAGTTAGTCTTTTGGGCCCCTAGCCAAGAATTGGTGGATAAGTTAAGGCTAACACATCCTACTGATTTAGTTTTTCCAGCATCTCTGCATGTGAAGGAGGATGGGAACCAGATAGTATTTTAACATTCTTTTTGTCTGGCTACTTGCAAAATTTTGCACATTCAGCAAAATGTAAGAGCCTAACAAAGTTTTGACTTCTGGTCCTTGTTCAAAGGGTGAACACTGGGTTTGTTCTCTTTGACAAGTCTGTATTTCTGCTACTATGGTGCTGACCTCATGTTACTTGCTGAACTTATGCTGCTTTTTGCTTATTAAAATATAGCAGAAGATCATTTGCAAGGTGATATTATTTTAGATTGATTTGGGATTCTATTATTGGCTTGATGCAAGACAGTAGCACCTGCATAAATTTATATTGAACCATATTATCAACTCCAATGTGACTGGCTAGTGTCATAAGCTTATTTAGATATAATGATGGAAATCCTTTCATGCAGGAAGATGATATTCAATTTGTCTAGAATCTCTTTTTTAGATTCCTTGGATGAGTTTATTTCATCTTTTTTTAGTTGGTCAAAATATGTCTTCAAAGCCAACCAATTTTTAATATACATTTATTTTTAGAATTTTCATCTTGTTATTTATTTAATTTTATTTTTTTATTTTTCTATCACTTTTCTGAAAATAAAAAAAAAGCTGAATATGTCAAAATGTTGATTATTTTCTTCTTTCATCAATATTAGAATCAGTAAATAAAAATGCACTAGTTTTAACAAATATTTCTAACTACACATAAATGCAATGTTTTTGAATAAAGTTAAATACTGTAAATGATATTTAAATCAAAAAGCAGAATGAATATTAAGCCAAACTAATATCTTCACATCTCACTTATTCAAAAAATCCCACACAGCACAAATTGCATAATTAAACTTTTACATTAGCAGATGTAAATTCAGATTCAAAGAGAGTTAAATGCAGAACATTCTAACACTTTTTGCAGGTTCTTTACTTCAAAGGAATTGAAAAGAAGATTTTTCCACACATACCAAGTGCAGATGTAGTTATATACATACTGTCAACTGCCCTCCTCTTTCATGCTGTGAGTAATTCCATTTTGATAAAACAATGTTTCTTTATTAAACTCACTAACACAAAATGACAGGTTGATATTTTACATTTCTAGTAATCATTTCGAAATACATCTTAAGAGAAATAAATGTTATTTCTATCTTTAACGGTAACTAAAATTTTCAAATTCCTTCAGCTTTTATAAATGATGATCAATAACATTCTTATTCTTCTATATATTGTGTCACTTCAGGAAACTGACGATCAAGGCTCTCCACAATTTCCTGCCCTCTTTAGCTATTAATAAATTTTGTCTTTGCATTATTTCTCCTAAGGCTTGTTTTGCCATCCATTTAATCAAGTTATGCATTGTTTTCCTTTGTCCATCTTGACTTCAGTCTGTCCAAGACCTCTTTCCTCTTTATGTGCCCTAGAAATTTCAATTATCTCTTTGTAATGTTAAGTTTATCCTTTTTATTTCCATTTTCTCTAAAAATTTATAATGTTCAGTCCATGGTATTCTCAGCATCCTTCTGTAGAACATTGCTGTTGCTTCAAATCTCTTCTTCATCTGTGAGGTGATTGTCTAGCATTCACTGCCATATAGGAGGAATATTACATAACAGATCAAAATTTTTGGTTTCTGAATACTTTGCTTAGCTTTTGAAAGATATCTTTAGCTATGTCAATGCATGCTTGGATTTCACTGTCACACTTTCTGTCCTCTGTTAAAATACTCCCTAGATATTTAAATTGTTGCACTTGTTTGATTTTGGTGCATCCAATTTGTAATTTGCATGTTGGGCAGTTGCTAACAACAATGCATTCTCTTTTCTTGCAATTTGTTGGTTAGTCCTTTTTTCTCATTTTCCATTATACCATCTGTAGGAGTTCCTGTAATTTCATTTCTATGCCTGCTGTCAATACTGCATCATCTGCATATCTTATGTTGTTAAGATTGTAGACACCAATAATAAATCCTGGTAGGATTTCTAATTCTCTCAGAATCACCTCACTGTATAGGCTGAATAAATCTGGTGAAAAGACATCCTTGTTTTCCACCCCTTTCTATTTTTTGTATATTTAATGGATTTATTTTCTATCCATATGCAGGTGGTTTGCTACCAGAATAGGTTTTGGATTATTCTAATATATTTTCCAAATATTTCAAGGCTACCAAGTAGTTCTGACAGTTCTCTGTGATGCAACCACAGAAAGCTTTCTGTGGTTGCAAAGTGATGAAGGAGGTAGACTAAAAAGTAAAAGGTCATGTTTATTTGAATACCTTCTCTTCCTCAAATGAAATTTTTTTTTCTTTATAACAGACAATCAACCAATAAAAGGTAATTTTCATTTGAATGCTTATCCCTTTTTCTTGAGATAAAAAATACTTTCTTCTTTATCAGAGAAAATCAACAAGTCACATCTAATTTCATTTGAATACCTATCCTCTGTTCTCTGGATGAAAATTTACTTTTTTCTTTGACAAATGATCAACCAGTTAAAGGTCATGTTCATTTGGATGTCTATTTTCTCTTCCTTATTTGAAAAATTACTTTTTTCATTGTGACAATCAGTAAAATATGTTCACTTGAATGTTTCTCTACTCTGTCTTCAAACAAAGATTTTTCTTTGTGAAGTATTGTAGCATGGCTGGGGCAGTGGCTTGCTGTCTTTGGTCAGGATTGATCCTGGTATCAGAGAACAAGCCATCAGCCCACACTTGTCAGACATTGGTGGCGTTCAACACTGCAGCTGGTCTTTATGTTGACCTTTTCAACTATGACCTCTCTTACCCATGTTGGGATTTTTGATCTTAAGAGGGGCAAGGTGAATTATCACTGGGGTATCTCAACCAAGCTAAACCAAGGAGTTGAACACACACACAAAATTGAAAATAAACGACGCTTAAATAAGTCACTAGATGATATTTATATCAAAATAAAAAAAAATATTTACAGTTCTTTTTTCTTTTTCCAACCCATTTGTAATATTTGGTGACGGAATAAAAATTTCAACTAACTACTCTAAGGATGGCCAGACTTGACAACTGGATTTTACTTCAAGTACTGTTGAGTGTACTTTCAAGGATGGCACAAGGATATCATCAGAGTCTTTCTTCTTCAGTAGATAATTATTATTATTATCATTTGGTTGGCAAAACAGCATAATGGCAAAAAGATCTCTTAACTCCCCATCCATGACTACTGCAACTCACCACAACTCCAGAATGCAGCTCTTTTAGCCCCCATGGGCACTTGTATTTATGAGTGTCCATTTTGAACTGCTATGGGGGAAAGCACATAAGGGGGGTTTATGCAAATATCCTAAAATTCAACCAATATCCTTCCTTCCTTCTCTGTTTCACACCTTCCAATTTTGGAAGGTCCCTCTCTCCTTCAGGAGGAGTCATTATATGACATCAGTTTTCCTGACGTCTCCCCCTGCTTTCACAATTGCTCATTCTGTCTTCACAATTATAATTTTTTCTCCGGGAAATTTTGGTTGATAATTTTCTCAGCACATACACATTGACACCTTTCAAAAGTCGACTTTGGCCCCAGAACTTGCCAGCTGTGTCTCGCCGGGCAGCAATAGTATTATTTTGTATTTTTTTCAATGGAATTTGTACATCTGTTTGCAACGCCCTGTGAAAATGAGTCTCTTTCTGACAAAAAAATAAAATCGTTTTTTATCCCTTTTCGTCCGTACACCATGTTAAATATTGTTACATCTCTCCCTAACCCATCATCTCATTTACCCGTAAATGACATTTCAAATATCAATACACTATTTAACATGCTCTACTTTTCATGCACTAATTATCATGCATCATTTCCATGCACTATAAAATTGTCACATGCAATTTGAAAAGTTCCCTTTTACTTCTTCTATTTATACCTGCAATTTAAGAAAAGGTGAGTATGTGTGTGTATGTTTTTTTTATTATGGCTTGTTTTTCTTGGTCATTATTCTTTTCTGTACAACGGGGGGTGTTGGTTTGTTTTTGACAGGTGTTGACTGTACTTCTGCTTTGTTTGTCGAAGTCAATGCAACTTCTTCATCTTGAGTTGGTCTGATTGGACAATGAACACTGCCAGGCAACTCCCCTCTGAGCTGCTGCATACCTATCAGAGTACCATCAACCGACTTTTTTCTATATCTATTAAATTTCCATATTGCTGCTACTATTACAGCAATAAGTATCAAAGTACCTAACACTGCTGGCCAATTTATTATAATTTTCTTACTATCCTCCCTGGCCATACCTCCATCTCCCAACATCTTTAGTTGGTCTTTTAACCAATTCATATTTATCCTCTCTACAGGTTCCAATAATACTGGCATCTGTTTTAATGCAATTCATTTACTATTGTCTTCCACACTTTGTGTAATTGTCCAAACTTCTGTTAATCAATTCTACAACTGAATCCTTTTCTTCATATTTCTCTTCCCTCTGGTAATATGGGGTCAGGGAGATGGATACTCTAAATGCTGAGCATCTCAGGGGCAAGTTTACTAAGGATAGTGGCAGTTTCACTTTTATTGTCCCAGTGGATTCCCTTCCACATACCCTAGACAGACCAATTGATTTTTGTACTGCCACAGACCACACACCATCGGATACACTTCTACTTGACAATTCCTCTTAATTCCTTCCCTGTTATCTTCAAACAACTCCAGTACACATATTGTGATTGCCTGTCACATAAATGGGACTTAGTGAGGTACAGGCTCCCAAGGCACCGTTCTTACACCTTCCCACCTTGTCTGCCGACAGTAGCATAAACTTCATCCTAGCTGAATTCAAGGCTATGTATTCGGTTTCAATTCTGTATCTCACCACCACTCCCAAACCTTGATCCATGTAAGGGTAGGGAATAGGTAAGTTTATAACTTGGTATATTTCAAAAAAAACTTTCTCTATCCAACAACAGAATAGACATCAAAACTAACAATTTGTTATTTTCTAGCAAGGTTACACAACCTAGTGCATTATAATATTTCCATAGTTCTCTGGTGGGATCTACTGGTAACCTAAAATGATGGAGTAATTCATTCTGTATTTTTAACAAAAGTCTCTTCAGCTGGAGTTACTATGCTAGGGGACAAGTGTCCCAGTAATAGCATGTCAATCTGAGCTCTCACATGCTCTAATAGAATTGTCAAGGATCGACTAGTCTGCTGCACCCTATTGGTAATGGCGATCAACTGGAAATACTGCTGAATAAACCCACTCAACCCCTGCAATTCAGTCACTATAGCCTCTGAATCATTAGCTACTTATTGTTTTAGTTCTCTTAGGTTGCTTATTAACCCATTGATACTGGCTCTATTCTTTGCCAATTCCAGTCTTGTAACTTTCAATATAATATCGATACACTCTCCTGTGCCATCTTGGCTAGGATTTTCTGATCCTTCTCTACCCTTCATAGGTTCTTTCTTGTGACTTTAACGTCATCTTCAATTACCATTCCAAATAGGACATTTAGTGCCTTCCCAACAAAGGGACCTACTGCTCATTTTTATCTAGTCTGTAGTAGTTCAATTTGCTTCATGTAATTCCTCATATCCTTCCACTGGCCTTCCATTACAGCCGTTTCCAATTCTAAAGAATATAACAGTCTGAGATACTCTTCTTCTTCTGGATAATTCTGTACTACTTTTACTCTTGCTATTTCCCAGCTTCCCTATCTCATTCCTCAGTTTGTTCAGTAGCAACTCGTATGGGTTTAAATCTATCACAAAGGGGACTACTCATCTCAATCATGTGATTATCACTTCACTTGTCTTAAATATTGTACTTTGGCTGTGTCTCCAAGCTTCTATCTTTGTCATCATCATCATCATCAGATGTATTGGTCCTTTCATTTTGGCCATTCCCCTAACCACTGATTATTCAAGTTAGTTCTTTACTTAATTATTCCGAAGCACTCTAGCTGCTTCTCTCTCTTACCGTCTCTCCTAGCTTCCAATTATGTCCTTCCTTTAATTAATTTTTAGTAGGATGATTGGTTCAGATAAGTGCAC